GCTCTAATGTCTGTGGAGGCTCCCCAGATGGGTTTTGAGCGTGGGCACTTGAGTCACACTGCCCACAGCATGCATGCCTTAGCTCTGCTGCCCTGTGACTGAGCCACTGCCTTCACGTCTCTAAGTGGTGTCTCCCCTCTGTTGTAATCTCAGAATTACATGTAAGACACTTTATTTTAACTGTTAGCTTAATTTGACTATCACTTCCTTATCCAAGTCTTGCATAACTGTAAATTCAAGTGTTCCACAGAGTGCCCAATATATGGGTATTAACTACATGAATGAATGAACTGAGCTGTTGCTTGCAAAATTCCCACGATGCTTCCACATAGTGCATATTGAATGTCCACCTGGGATCGGGCCTGCCCCACAACCATCCCTGTATGTTAGCTCATGTGCTTTTCCCATGAGTGGTGGGATCAGAAAGGTCACTGCTATTATCACGTTTTTACAGGTGAGAAAGTAAGCTCAGAAATTTACACAGCTTTTCTGAAGTCAGGCCCTTAGTGAATGATGGGGCAGGGTCTTAAGCCCAGCTTGCCTGGTTCTGGGGGGACAAAAAAGTTACTATGGGTCTGATACTCAGGCTGGATTTTAGAGAAATCAGATGAGAACTAAGTTATCTTTTATTATCATTAGGCCCAACAGTAATACAGAAACATAAGATTTTATTCTTCAAAAATGTCTTGGATTGGATACATATTTTTTTAATTATAAGGAAAACAAATAACTTGACTGAAAAGAAGAGAAAACATATGCATGATTGTAAATGGAAGGGGAAAACCCTGAGGCAGTATCTCCCATAGCTCTTAGAGGGATATGAATGATCAGTGTAATCTATCATAAATCAGCCAAATTTGTTCAAGGATAGTAAATAATGTCAACAGCATTAAATTTGGTCCACAAGAAGATATATTTGGGTGAAAGGAAACACAGAGGAACAGAAAAGGATTAGGTTCCATTATTTTGGTTTTTGTGAACACAAGAAATCGAAAACTGGTGATTCTACATGTCCCCTCCATCATTAGGAAACCACTGAAGTTGGTCAGTGCCTGCCTAGGAGGTGAGCGGTCTGCTCTGTCCACATCTTCCAGCCAGCCTCATGACCTCCTCAGATTCCCCACTTCCTAATGATGGCTACATTGCCTGCTACAGTCAAAGAACCCTGCTTATGCAGCCGTAAACCACAAATCCCAAGCCCCAGTGGCTTCACACAACTAAGGCTTATGTTTTGCGTGTGCTACATGATCACCATGGAGCGACCCCCTAAGGTTCCCGCTAACCATGGCACAGAGATCTGGCCCACTTTGCCGTCTTCTAGAGTCGGGCCTGAGGCCATCACAGCGTGAGGCTGCTGAGTGCACTGTCAGGGGAGAGGACGTGTGTGTGACCACGTCGCTTCCACCAGCATCTCACGCCGGGCACTTCCTCTCGCCAGGCCTGGCTTTGCAGGTGAGGAAGCGTGATCCTTCTGGATGGTCTCAGGAGAGGATAAAATGAAAACAACGACAGGCACACATCGGTGCCATATACCACACATAGAGCTCACACTGATCCATGGAAACTCATTTCTGGGCCTAGCCGCAGTGGCGTGTGCTGCGGACATGCTGTCTTCCTCAGCTGGGGCCGTATGGAGCCTTGGTTCAATTCCCAGTTCAGCCTAAATGCTGGGCACAGTGACACATGCCTGTAATCCTAGCAACGAGAGAGGCAGAGGGAGGATGGTTTCGACAGCAAGACCCTGTCTAAAAATGTCTGCTTCCATATTGCAGACAAGCCAGAAGAAAGGGTGTGGAGAAGTGAGAAGAGACTAGTAGAACTAAGACATCTTTTGTTGTTTAGGAATGCGGATTGAGCATCCCTAATTTGAATGTACAAAATCTGAAATGCTTATTCTAATCGAAAATTCCAGACCTGATCTCATGGGACAAGTTGCAGGCCAAACACTGCAGTACGAAAATATCATACGGTCCAGACATGGTGGTGCCAAAGGAGCATGTCACTGCGTGATGCTGGGGCCACACAGGAGGCCGCGCGTCAGTTCCCGGCCCAGCATAAACAGGGTAGGCGCAGTGCATGTGCCTGTAATTCTACTAACCCGGAGGTGGGGCAGGAGTATCATTGTGTGGTATGACCCTGTCAAAAATACTTCTTTTTCTCTCTCCCCTCATTTAAAAAATAAAAAAGTGTAAAATCACCACAAGGCTGTGTATATAACATGTATATAAAATGAAAATGAATTTTGTGTTTAGACTTGGGTCCCATCTCCAAAATATCTCATTACGTGTATGCAGAATTCCAAAATCTACAACACTTCTGGTCCCAAGCGTGTTGGATAAAAGATATTCAACCTGTAGTCTCTGCTTGGAAGAGCC